TTTTTTTTTTTTTTTGGTCTGTTGGGCGATTCAATGGGGAATGTCGTTCTGGGGTTACTCCTTCATGTTGCGGCCTTTCCAAGTTTTGTATTTTATTATTTTTTTTTTTCCCTTTGAACAGACTGGAAATGTGAGAAGTCCGTTGTGTTTCCTCACACAGCGCCATGAAAGGATGAGCTCTTGTGGCTGCTACATTTTGGCGGAAGTATCGGTGGAGCCCGTGCGGGCTCCTGTGCAGGTGTCCACGCAGGGGGCCACAAAAAGGGGCGGCGGTCGGTTGAAAACAAAAGTGGTGGGTCAGAAGGCGGATAAGGATACAGCGGATGGACGGGAGGCAGTTGGGGAGGTAGCGGTTCTACGGGATACAGTTGCAGGGGCAGTGGATGGACGAGATGCAGTTGCAAGTACACCCTGCCCCGCTTCCGCCCCCCAGGAAACCGTACCGCATGCGAAGCGGGGTTTGAAGGGCACCGTGTTGAAAACGATTAAGAAGATCAACCCGCTGGTCAAGGGTGGAACAGGGGACGACGATACAGAGGGAGAAGGGAAAAAAAAAAAAAAAAAAAAAAAACACAGACCAAATTGATATTGACACGATAGTAGAAGATAACGTCGAACAACTCACAGTAGGCAAAAAGGAAAAAGATATTTTAAAAAAAAAATGGAAATATATGTTAAAAAAAAATAAAGAAAAATATGGAAAAGTGTCTGATGGGAATCAAATACATATATACAACGACTCACATACAGCCTATAAGGATATATTTGAGTCAATAGAAAAGAGTAAAAAGAGGGTTTGGTTTGAATGTTACTGGGTCGATGACTCTGAGCTAGCCAACGAGGTGGTGGACAGTCTGTGTAATGCAGCCAAGAGAGGATGCGACGTTATTTTTCTGATTGACTATATAGGGAGTTTACAAATTAAAAATAAATGGGTGCGTAAAATGAAGGAGAGTAATGTGCAGGTGATTTTATTTAACACATTTTTGAATTCCTTCCTCAATATGTTACCCATTGTTTTCCGGGACCATCGCAAAATCATTATAGTGGACGACATTGCCTACTGCGGCTCGATGAATGTTAATGAGCACGTCGTCCCCAGCGGCGTGGGCTGGTACAGCAAACAGAAACGGGGGGATAAAGAAGCGGACAAAGAGGGGGAGAAGCAGGCGGACAAAGAGGCCGACGCAGAGGGCGAAACAAAAAGTAATAGCCAACGCCTGCAGTTCTACGACTTACACATAAAGGTGAAGGGACCCGCAGTGAAAGATCTGGCAGACGTGTTTATCGACTCACTTAGCATGGCCAACACGCCAATCACAAGGGAACCAATTGAGGAACAACAAAGGTATGAAGATGAACACGGACACTCTTGCTTTATTCAAGTGCTGCATTCAAATGTGCTTAAGAAAGTGCGTTCCATTCAATCTACCTTTGAATGGGTTATTAAAAACGTATCCACAAAAAATATTTATATAACAACTAGCTATTTTATCCCCCCTGGTTTTTTGAGGAGAGCTTTGTTTTCTGCCCTGAACAAAGGGGTCGATATTTCCTTCCTGCTGTCTGGCAACTCGGATGTGGTAGGAGACGTCCCCGCCACCTATCACGTTGTGAAGAAATTCCTCAAGAAGTTCAACAAGGGTAGCGATAGCGACGATGGGAGTAGCGAAGAGACTGGCGGCGGGAGTGGCAGCGGAGGCAACGACGAAAGGGAGGAGCGAAAAGCAAACTCCTACCTGCACAACCTGCGCAAGCGAGCGGGGTCAAAAATAGGACATAATTTCCTCCACAGACAAAAAAAGGGAAAAAGCGATTTCTATTTTTTACAGAATAGGCATTGTCATGCAAAGAACCTCATGGTGGACAACCTCTGGTGTGCTGTGGGTTCATACAACTGGGACAGATATTCCTCGAGGCGCAATTTAGAAGTGATGGTTTCAATCTTTGACCAAAAAATATGTAACCAGTTTGTACAAGAGCATAAGAGTAAGATAAAAAGCGATTCAAAACATGTGACTCTCTCACACCTGGCCAGTCGCAGCCTGTTTCAGGAATTCCTTAGCTGCTTCGCATACCACTTGGCCAAGTGGTCCGGAAAAAATATACTGGACGGGCTCTCCAATGACAACAAGAGGACTTTCGTGCGCAAGGCAATCGTCAACAAGTACCTGTCTGACAACTGCGTGGAAAATATATCCCTCAACATGATGTGGGGGGGCTAGCTCAGCGCGGCGACGCATGGCGGCATTGAGTGGCGGCAGCGCCGATGAGCAGCAAGTGGCGAATCGTGGCATAACACAAATGAAGCCAAATTAAAAAGGTGCGTTTCAAAATGACAGGCACAGAAGATGGTGGACGGAGAACCACACTCTTCTTCGTTTGTTCGGTCAGACTTAGCAGCCACGTCAGCTATACTGGAGACAAATAACAAGTGACAAAAAAAAAAAAAAAAAAAAAAAAGGGACGTAGAAAAATGCGTCAAATCGAAATGGGATCAATGTGCATTCACAAAAAAAAAGATCGGCGACGAGAAGAGGGGCAATCTGAATTGGAGACACAACCTCAATTGGAGAGAAAATAAGAAGTGGGCGGGTGTTTTTTTTTTTTTTTTTTTGTTTTATTTTTCATGTTCAGGTTTAGGGTTGTCCTGCCTAATACAAGATGCAGTGCTGTCCTCCTTCATACATTTGGCCGTGACCAAGTCTGATCGAAGGCGAATATTTTCAACACGGATCTCCTGCAAAATCTTCCTCCAGGCGCGCGTCCATTTTGGTCACGCGTCCATTCCAGTGGCGCTTCCTTTCCAGTGACGCGCGGAAAAAGGCCTACCCGAAAGGCTCCTCGCTGAGGGCGTGGTTCTTTATAAGGTGCACGATAATTGTGCTTTTCTTTTTAACATCCTCCTGGAGTAGGAGCTGGTCCTCTCGCAGCTTTTCTACTTCTCTTGTTAGGAAATTTACTTCTTCTACGAGTTCTTTCGTTTTGGAGCAGACCCCGTCGTCCTGGTGACTCTCTTCACAATGTATGTCGTCCTCTGTGACGTTACCCATTCCATTGTCCATGTCACTACCTCCTCTGTTGTCTGCACCCATGTGAAACGATCTCATTTCTTCTAAAAGAGTTTGATTTTGTTTTTCTAGCATTTCATTTTTTGTAACCTGTTGTGACAACAGTTTTTTTGTTTCATTCAATTCCGCGTCATTTCTTTTTTTGTTTCTAACAAACAAAGACTTCCATTCGTGTATAAAAAATTTGTAATTCTTTACCTTTCGCGCGAGATCCTCTAGGGTATCTCGGTTTGCGCACCGGTCAGTATTGCAGTTGGTACCAGCGCTGGTGAGGTGACTGGTGAGGTGACTGGTGAGGTAATTGGCTGCGTTGCTCTCGGTTGCCGCTGCTGCGCATCGCGGGGGATCGGCGCTTCTTGTACGGCGTGGAGGGTACACACTGTTCAGGTGGCGCTCAAAATGGGTACTCTTTGAATGGTCCAACGGAGGATCCCCCTCTGCTGCATCATTACAAGCACTGCTTTCGCTGCTGTCGCCTCTTCCCCCTCTTGCGCGCAACTTGAGGCGCCCTTTGTTTGTATGACGCCGCAGGGATATCCCGCCAGCCCAGTCGCCACGGGCCCTGATGAGGCCCCTGAGTTGGAACGCGAGTCGTTTTTCCCTCCGTTGCATGTCTAGCAAATCTGCTCTACAAGCACGCAAGTCCTCGCGAGACAGTTGCACCTGCTCACGGTACCCTTGTAGCCTGTCCCGTAGTTGGTGTTTCTCCTTCCACAATGAAACACAAAGGTGAGACTTTTTTTGAAGAGCAAGTTCTAATGATTTTATTAAACATGCTAATTCGTAATTTTTTTTTACATGTATATTTTTATCATTTGCAATTTCTTCTAACATAACCACTTGTGTCTTCAATTGAGTTAGCTCCTTTTCCATGGAGTCCACTTGACCGTTTATGTAGTTTCGTTCATTTTGTTCTGCATCACTTTTTATGGTCGAGGACAACTGACTTGAGAGTTGTAACAGTTGTTTCGTTTGTCTTTCGTTTATATCTTTAAGAATTTTATTTTTCCTTTTTAATTCAATTATTTCTTTAACTTGTTTTGTTTTCTCCTTTGTTTCATTCTCTTGTTTCTGCTCTCCACTGCCAAGCAGGGGGGGGGGCTTCACAAACAGCTTGCTCGTATGGCCTAGTAGCAGATCGCATATCTTTGTGGCGCAGTCTTCAGCTAGCTTTTTGTGTTGCTCAAGGGAGGAGTTGCTTTGTGTGTTCACCATACAGTTTGCCTCTCCGCTGGGCATTTCTCTTAAAAGAATTATTTGCTTGACCACCTCTTCATACTTTTCATTCTCCACTGTGCAACACAGATCTTTTGCTACTTTACTTTTGAGGTGGTTGTAAAAGGTAGACTCTGTAAGGGTGTCCGTTTCATCTTTTGCGTCTGTTTTTTTTTTCCTCTTTTTCGTTTCCTTCTTTAACCTGGGGGGGTAACATTTTTTTGTTTCACCCACGTGGGCTTCCTTACGCGCCATGGCGCGGCTGCCTCCTTCTCCTCCTTCGCCGCCTTCGCCACCTTCGCTTCCCTCACAGCATCCTCTGCATGGTTGAGCAACGGGAATGGCTCCCACCTGCGTGATAACTTCACTCCCCTGGCGAGACTGCCCCTTGCACGTCGCCCCCCCAGCTCCGTCTTCCCTTTTTTCATTCTCCTCACGTGTGTCAATCTCTTCGTGTTCATATCGCACACTTGTTTTCGCACCAGCGTCGGAATGGCTAAGGTTTTCACCACTGGACTGAACTGAGTCGTCGTGGTGAGATAAGTTTGAGTCATCCTGGTGAGATAAGTTTGAGTCGTCGTGATGAGATGAGTTTGAGTCGTCGTGATGAGATGAGTTTGAGTCTTCCTCGTGCGATTCGCCTGAAACGTCCTCGTCGTCCTCCTCTCCGCTTGGACGATCCCCTTTTCCTGGGAGCGAGCACTCCCCTGCCCCCACTGCGCGGTTCATACTTTCCTCGTCCCCCGGGAACAGGCACTCATCGTCTTCGTTGGGGAGCGCAAATTTGTTATTAATGGTGTTCAGGAGTTTCCTCTTCGCCACATCTATGTCGTGTAGAAATTTAAACATGGTATGTGGGGCGGGGGAGGGAGAAAAAAGCTCGTGCATTCATCACACAGTGCTGACCGCGTAAGGGCAGCAACATTTGCACTCAATTTGTACGCCCGTGATAGCGGCTGCGGAGGAATAGGACTTTATACTTATACACCCTGCTCCACTCCCCCCTCCCTCCATCTCAAAGCATGCACTAATAAAAAATACAACCACGCCCCAAGAAAACACAAAACAAAAGAAGTTAAAATTTTACGTGCGTGCAGATGCTAAACCGCGTGTATGTACACATGGGGAATGGTGAGGGAGGAATACTTTTAAAAAAAGCTGCGGTGGAACTTCATTCCATTTTTCTATCTAATGCTAACGCGCCAGGCCATAACTAAATCGGCATCGCGTTAAGCTAAGTGGGAGGATTGTAGCCATGTGCGGCAAAAGGAATAATTCAAAAGGGAAAAAAAAAAAAAAAAAAAAAAAAAAATTATGAACGTTCATACATTTTGGTGCGTTGCTGCGTATGCGCATATTTTTTGAGCCAAAAATGGGGGACGGCAAGTGTGGGCCCCCCACGATAAAATTGTGAAGAAGGCCGTAATTATTTTTCCTCAAAAAGAAAAATGTACAGAGGAGGTGGGGAGAGGGGCAAGCGACAGGGTCATCCCCGCCCACAATTGTAGCTAATAATTTCAGCTAACATTTTCACTAACAGTTGCAACTCACACGAGGGAATTACAAGGGAGTCTGCCAGAATGGGAAAGCGCCCCTTTTTTAAAATGGCCACAAGGGAAGGGGCGCGGTACACCATATAAACGTATGTGTGCCCGCTGTGGCCACCACCTTACCTCATACTCAAGCATATGTATAACGCTTCCCCACCTGGACATGACACGTGCAGCAGTAGTAGCAGTTACACAGTTGTGAAGAGAGGGGGTGCATCTCTTCCTGTGTGGACGCTCTGCCTGGTGTGAGAACAATTATAACATTGCGCTATTATGCTGTGATGGGGGAAAAAAAAAAAAAATTATGCAACAGCGTGAGAACTTTCCCCCGGTGCAGCTAACCTGGAAGGAAGAGCAGACACGCCCCTGAAAAGAACAAAAAAGAGGGGGGGGGGGGGTGCTACCTCAATGTGGCGATGTGGCGCCACGATGTTCTACCTGCATGTGGTTCCCTCTGGGTGGGACTCCGGTGTAAACCCCCGCATACTTGACCATCTTGTTGTTGCAAATTTGTTCCTGGCGATGCGCCGTGAAGGAGAGTAGCCTCATTATGAAAAAAACAGAGGGTAAAAAAGGAAGAGGTAAATTCAACAGGTGAAATATCAATAGGGGGTAGTAGTAGCAGGAGGCGTGTTTCTTTTGTTTCTTTAAAAAGAATTCTTCCACTTGCTCGAAATGCTTTAGGTAATGCAGATTCTTCTCACATGTGTTGTTGCAATACTCGGTCAGGTGTTTTTTAAGGATGTCGTTTTTTTCCTTGTACGAGTTTCCTTTGTGAAAGAAGAAATTTACGTTCGGGGGTTCGGCTATCGCCTCGTCCACGTGGTCTCCCTGGCGACGTTGTCCCTGGCGAAGTTCTGCCTGGCCAAGTTGTCCCCCTTCAGCTTCCCCATGGGTGCAAAGCTGGTCCTGCGCAGCACGTTTAGCGCCCCTTACCGGAGGGACCACAAATTTGAGGAAGCCCTCCAAGGAGTGAGACAGATTGACGCCACTGAACGCATCTACATAGAAGGTACTAGCAGAGACGCACAAGCTGAAATAATTGTGGCCCTGTACAGAACTGAGCATTCGAATGAAAAATGTATTTTCATTCATGCCCTGTTCGCACATGCATAGGAGGAATGCATTTAGAAGCTTTTTTTTTTCTTCTCTCTCCTGGAGGAAGTCTCCCTCGGTCCCCCCCATGGGGTACGAATCAATGAGGAAGGAAGCGAAATCTGAGTAGGCTGCGTAGTCCTGCGTGGGTGGAGGAACCAACTCGGAATGGCCCCACCGCAGGAGTAACTTCAGAGATGCGGCTAATATTTTGAGGTAATTAAGAACGGGGTCGTCCTCGTCCCTTTCTCCTTCTCCTTCTTCTGCGTCGCCTTTTTCTGCGTCGCCTTTTTCCTCTGTACGTTTTTCCGCTGCACGCTTTGCCTGGTGCGAGAACTGCAGGAGGGCTATGCGTATGAGCTCGAGGGGGTCTGAAGTGTGAAGCAGCCTCCCCATCTCTAACACATTCCCTTCGCAAAAGCGCTCTAGTTCATTTTGAACGTGGCGATTTTTTCTTTTTAATTCACTTTGGTTTGGAAATTTTTTATGTAGAAGTAAAAAAATAACTTCATCGAATGTAGCTCGCCTGCACAGGGCCCGCACGTCCATGCCTCTGTAGAAGTGACCTACTCGGAGGGAGAGGTACGCAGACAAGGAGATGTGTTGAGGGTTGCCAAGCGTGTGCATGATGATACACGTGGCGCACAAGTGCAGGGTTCACTCCGAGCCATGCCGCCGCTCTGCAGCTGTTACACGGCCGTTATGCCGCTGTCATGCCGCTGTCATGCCGCCGCTATTCCGCTGCACACACCTTTGAAGTCCAAGAGAATTTCCGACTCCAGCATGACGCATGGTTGTGGGCGGGCGCAGGCACCCTCGGCCCGATCCCCATTCTTGTGGACATGAGAAAAATGCCTTTTTATAAGATACACGGGATTATTAACAGGGCGCCATTCATTTCCCCTGATGGGGCAAAGGGCACGCTTCAAACAACTCATGCTGATGTACACACTCGTTTTGTTTATTTCTAATGGAGGAGTGCCGCATTTATTTATATGCACGTTCGGGTTAGCTACTCTCCTCCCAATGGGTTCAATTCCGCAGTTAGAGTAGGTTCATACGGGATTGTACGTGTGCAACGGTAACATATATATATAACGATTTACTCCTTTGTTACCACCCTGCAGGGTACGGTTATTCTCGTAGGTTCTTTTTTTTTTATTCCTCCTTCTCCCTCTAACTACACCTGCACAAGTATGCTGGAGATAACACTCACAGTTAAATAATTACTTCATATCGTTACAAGTGATTCATTTTTTTTTTCTCTTCTCGTTATAAACCATGAAAGGGAGTGTATAGAAACACACGTTCGTATTAGGCAACCACATGAGTGAGTTAACCCCCTGCTCTCCTTGTTTCAGCATCACCACCACAAGGTCTGGCTCCAAAATGTGTATATTTTGTTATTTTTTTTTCCCCTTTCCCCGTTACGTGTATAGAGAAGTGTGGTGGGCTTAAATGGAATTGCACTGGGGTGGAGGCTGTTCATTTGTTTGTTTCATTAAGGTGCCTCTGTTCAGATAAAAAAATCACGACCGGTGTGGCGCTTGCACGAACCTCTTTATTAGGGTTAGAAGCAGTGGACATTACCTCCACTTGGGCCACAAGAACAAAAAAAAAAAAAAAAAAAAAAATGCTATCAATATGCGCGGTTTTAAGAGTACCAGGAATGGAAGCAAAAATGTTTCTCCTTTTAAATGTTGTTCACACCACGTATGCCCGTTCGTCCGTTTGTCCCTTTGCGGCTTCTGCGGGGGAGCGAACCGTGCGCAGTGGAACAAACTCAGCCACCACGCAGGGCAAACGTACGAATTGTACTACGTACGGTTTCTAAGTGTATGTGCTTATGTATATTTATATGGCCTGCCACCACCAACTGCGTGCCTCCATTCGCCAAGCCCCTCTCTACGACGACTGACTTTACGACCGAGTGCTCCATCGCCTGCACATTCCGCACAGTGGACAATGGAATCCCTACTCCATGGAGAGAATACCAACGAACTAAAGCTCAACCTTCGAATAGCTCTGATGCATGCGGGAAAGAAAAAAATTTTTTTTTTTTTTTTTTTTTTTTTTTTTTTTTTTTTTTTTTTTTTGTTTCGGTTCGGTTCGGTTCTGTTTGGTTTTTTTTCTCCCTTTTCTAAAAAATACAAAAAAAAGGAGTGTTAGGCTAAATTGTTATCTCTCCTTTGATTAACCTGAACAGCTACAATTATGTTTTAATCTTCCACTTTAAAAAAATGGAGTTCAGCACAGGAGAAAAATCGCTCGTCGCACTTCGTTTTTAAAACGCAGCGTATCGTCAACACACGACGTTCATCGTATCATCGTCGTAAAAAATTTTGCCATCGCATGTTTGAATGTATATATGTATGTATACACTCTTATGTACGTAATGTGTATGCCTTTTTTTTTTTTTTTTTTTTT